AAATTAATTAACAGATGTCCTACTACCCCGTTAGAATGAAATTAGATAATAGAGTTTAGAATTGATAATTTTTTTAATATTGGTTCCTTTCTACTGTTTAATAAAAAAAAATATACTAAAATACATTTTATTTATATTAGGTATATTGTAATTATATGCTTTGGTTATTTAAAACAATTTTAACAAATACTAAAATGACAACAATAAAATCGAAAATAAGAGAAATCGAATTACATCATGGATTTTAGTATGAATATGGTTATTCAACTATCAAATTTAAAGAGGAAATATTAATACTTAACAACAAACAACAAAATTTTATATACTATTCATCTAACAAATCTAGTACTGCCTTAGGAGAGCTATTTTTATTTTTTGGCGGCAATTTCCTTAATTCTGTTACTAAGGGCTCTGAACTAAGTAAGAGTCTATTTAAAAGATCCATATTACACTTTGTACGAAACATTTTTCGAGTATGATTTTTTCGAGTATGACTCTTTATTTTTGGCCTCAGCAGCTTCTTCTGATAATTCTCCAATGGGTAATATGGCGCTTTCTATTACATCAGGACCATGTATAAGTACCTTGTGGACTGAAGGGGGAAGATTATACCAGGGATATTCAGCCACCAGTAACCGAGCCGTACTTAAAGAAAATTCTTTAAACTTTATAATATTAATTTTGAATTCTGATGAAATGCACCTTAAAATTACAGAACATCTTTCTAGAAGACTCTTGCTTAAACCTGTAATTTCAGAGGATTCATCTAATTGTTTAAAGAATTTTCTTGCGGTATTTCCGCCATTGGAAGTACCGCTTCCTCCACATTTTGGCTTATCCACTATCAATCCCAATTTATTTCTAAACTCAGATTGAATCTGGCCTTTCCTTTCAGAAAAATGTTACTTTTCTTCTTTAGACCGTATTTGCCATTTTTTTAAATTTAATCTATATGAAAGATGTAAAAAATATTCAAAGAATCGTATATATGAATGTAAAGGGGACAAGCCAAATTCAAATGTTTCTGGGCGAACTTGTTTTTGAAGGCACAAATCAATATCTTTCATTTCTTTGGGACTTGAACCACATATATAACATCTGGCTGAAGACGATTCAGTTAAACTGCTACAAATCTTCCTAGTGTTTGTGCTTTATGGAATAGTTCTTGTCATTAAATGAAACTACTGTGGGCTTCAGGGAATTAATTTTTTCTGTAAAGTATTTTTCTTCGTTAAGAGCTGCTTCTTTAGTTTCTTTTTTAAATTGGAATCTAAGCGGTCTACAATAACGTGTAGAGGAGGTTCGGGGGTTTTTCCACACTATTTTTTCAGGGTTATCTTCAAAAACAAGACGAAGTGGTACATATGAAGTCACAAATAAACTTCCGTCTTGGAATGTTGGATCTTGAAAAGATTGCTTGTATTCTGAGTCACCACTACTACCGTCAAATCCCCATTTTCCAAACAAAACCAAATTTTGGTCTTGATTGTCTGAAGTAGAGTTTATCACCTCTTGTTGTGATAACCATATTCTGCTTGCTGTATGATCGAGTAAGTTTTGTAACTCTATCTCAGCAGATGATTCGGTAATTTTAATGTAATCTTCACTGGGGTAGCACTTTTTCTTAGACTTCAAAACTTTTTGATACGAAGGAAACATATTATTTATTTTAGAATTAATAAAATTTCTTAACAATATATACTGGTGTTTAGTCAGTTTAGCTTCAACTAGAAGAGATAAGATTCATCGGCATCAACTTTCTTGTAATTAACGTTAGATGAAGGCCTTCGTAACATAGTTACCAAGGAGTTATCGATGACAGAAATTTGCGACAGTTTTCTCTGTTGTGACCGTCGACAACACTCATCAAAATTTTTCTTTGGTCTTCCGCATGTACGAGTAGATGGTTTGTTGACTTGGGTTAATTTGGACACCTGTATGTTAACGAAGATATCATCGGTCTTTATTAACCAATTAGAATTTGTTTTTAGAAAAAAATCTTTGTTGCGCCTGGCTTTTGCCCAATTTTCTGCTATTTTTTTGCACAAATAAAAAATTTTCTTTTCCAAATTAGCACAATTCAAATTTTCAGCGTCAGGTAACTGTTCTAATAAATAACCAAATATTTGTTTTGATTTTGTTGAAACAAACCCAGCCTTTGTCAACCATATCTCAAAAATACCCATTCTATCCAATGAATTTTTAAACCTTATTTTGCAATACCTCAGTTACTTCAGATCTTAATTAAAAAGGGAGTAGCAAAAACTGCACACTAATATTTGTCCTATAATAGGTCAAGGCATGTATCTACTTGACACTATGGAAATCATTTCGGAAAAAGGCGGGAAACATATTTGAAACGCCTAATTTTTCGATAATTTTGTATTACTAATGTCAAAGTAATAATAAAGTAACTAATTCTAACACTCAGAATTAATAAACTTACCTTGTTTTTGGACGTTCATAGCTAAAATTGCACAATAACACCACTTTTAATAACAAACTGTCAACAAATAATGTAAAAGTGACGTCTGCGAAGCCAACGATTAAGGTTGTAGCTTTTTTATCGCGGAGTTGATGATACGGTCACGGTTTAGGGGTTAATTTTTTAATGAATACATAGTTTTAGGTAATCAATATTTTATTATTATGAATTTGAATTATTGGTTATTTAAATATAATGGTTTTACAAAAAAAATTATGTTATTGATTTTGACGAATTTTGTCCATTTGTGGAACCACAGTGCGTCGTTACAGAATGGCGTATTAGGTGAGGGCATGAGTAGTCGTGTCCAGAACAGTTGTGTCCAAGATTGTGTGACGTTAGAAGGACAGATAAAAAAAAATAGGTGATTAGATGTACCTACGTAGTTAGCGGTAGCTTTACCACCCAAGTTAAGGTAATAGGTTAAAACGTGCTGAGGACTGTATGGCATTAGGGCTAAAAATGTAATGTCGCAAGCGTTTTCCCCTCAAGATTGGGCGCCTCTTGTTGTATATTATAGCCTTGCCCCTCTACTGGACCTCTGGGGGGGTCGACCGTTAAAATGTCCATTACTCGTGGGAACTTCAAAACCCAAGTGATGATTTTGCAACAGACAAAGCGTTAAGGGTATACCCCGCTAATCAGCAAGTAAACAATCACAACGCTGCTGTTTTAAATCTGTTCCGGAATAAGGGATCTCGAATTTATACCATTAAAGCACAGGACCAACTAATTGACGCCACACGAAATACAGATAATTTAAATTTACCAAATATAATACCAACAGATATAAATAAGACTGGAGGCTTACCATCAGTACTTGAAATATTTGTAGGAGCAAAAGTAATGTTGCGGTAACATTGACGTTACGAAAGGATTGGTAAATGGTGCTATAGGCCATTACAGAATTGTTTGGCCTCAGTTTCGTCGAACCGAAATGCTTGCAGAAACAGATGTACCATCAGTTTGAATTGACTTTGGCAGAGACGGCATACACGTTATACACCCGAAAGCCATACAGTTTCCAGCAAAATTCAATTATGGTACGGCTGAAAGAAGGATGCTACCCTTAATTTTGTCATGGGCATCCACCGTCCATAAAATGCAGGGCAGCACAGTCGACCATGCAGTAGTGTATTTGGGTTCAAAATTGTTTGAGGAAGGGCAAGCATACGTGGCTCTAAGTCGAGTCAAGTCTCTGGAAGGGCTATGTATTGAGGAATTAGATTGTAATAAATTATCAGGTAAAAAACCATGTAATAATGATACACTAAATTAAATAGAATGAGGAATATTCGGTAGGCATTTCCGTTAAATACTAAAAACTAAAAAATAAAAAATCGGTAAAAAAACTTTTAAGTTAAACGGTTTTATCTTATGTGCACTGAAAACTAGAAAATAATAATACAATTAGGTATTTTGAACTGGTATTGCTGTAATACTTTCTTCTATACTAAGTGTGGATTGCATCGACTTACTATAATCGTAACTGGAGATTTTGACAATCAATAACCAGCCGTGGCGGCTTCACCAGCGAACGCCGAGCTTATGATCTACCAAAGTATAAAGATATGCTTTGCCATAGGTAGGATTTCAGAGGGGCCCCACGTTTTTATTTTAGTCTAATATGCCTAAAAGCTATTCTGCCTAGTACTAAAATATTTCTGAACTAGAAGTTCAAAATACCTAACTGTTATTATTATTTTCTAGTTTTCAGTGCACGTAAGATAAAACCGTTTAACTTAAAAGTTTTTTTACCGATTTTTTATTTTTATTTTCTTGGGATTTAGGTTCGGGAAAACTCTGATTAAGTTTTCATTTGGTTTTTCATTACATATCTTTATTTGGTTTTTATAGGAAAAACAAACGTTTCGGCTAACATTATAGCCTTCATCAGTGTAGTGTCAAATCAAAAAAACAGTGTCGAATATAATCCAAAAATTACATCAAAACATTCACAACACACACATTGTATTGGTTTATTAATTGAGCGTCCGGATTGCACAACGACCTTAGCCCGTGGCCGCGGGCAGCCCAGTAGGCAGGCGAGACAGTGACGCGTTGTTGTGCGCCGATTTAACAAAATAAATAATTTTAAATCTGCCATTTCGTTAATAATTGCATAGAAATACTCTAATTAGTGCTAGCATAAACCGATAGACCTAAATTTTGAATATGTTGTAACTAAATGTATAACTAATTAAATGATAGTATTCATATCTGTCAGTTTTAAAATTTATAATAAAGATTTTTATCTCAAAGTTATAATATGCTCGGGGAATGTAAACAAATGGAAAATATAAAAAATAATCCAGTTATTTAAGCTTGTCGGAAGCGCTAAAGTAACAACTGTAAGTAACAACTTCGTGGAATTCCAAGCTTAGAGAATATCTAGCTAGATTAAAAATATGCATAATTTATTGACGTGTGAGACACACTATTTACTTTGCCACTGCGTGTACATCATACCACTGTAGTGTTGAAAAGTGTTATTCATGTTCTATTTTGTTTGCAGGTAGACCGGACCAAGTTCACAATTGTACAATCCTCAACGTTTCTATGACGTCATTTCAAGTGAGATGCACAGAAGGGTTTAATGGAGGACTTACACAAGCATTTTTACTAGAGGTACCAACACTATTTTTTATTTATTGTTTTAAACATGATATCCAGCTCTCAATTACAAGTATTTATATCTAATATTCAGAGCACCATTTTCTATCAAATGAGGTAAAAAGTTCCGAGGGTATCATTTAAAAATTAAAAGTTGTAGTCACTTCCGGTGAAACAGGAAGTGATCAAAAACAGTTAAATACGTCAATCAATCTACTAACATACCAAGTCTCGTTTTCTTTTTCTGAAAAAATAAAAAGTTATAAAAATGAGCCACTTTTGAGACGCACCCGGTATAGGTCGCTGTAGAATTTTATTACTAAAGTTTATTATTTTGTTTGCACTGTATAGAAAGCATTATAATTGAGGAGTGTATTTTCATAAACTAATAATTAATATATATTAATTGTTAATATCAGTTATTATAACCGGTAATAATATGCAACAAAATTATTTCTGTTGGCATTTAATGTTATAAAAACGCGACCGGATATAGAATTTAATTTCGACCACCTAAATAATAAATATCCCGGTGGTTTTGCAATAATATATCCAGCGGTTACTATTGATCTATCAGGTCTGTCCAACTAATTAAATTAAATATTGGCTTTTTAGGGTTGGTCGGGTGGAATTTAATGCCTTGTCAAGTTATTTAATGAATTTCGAAGCGACAACAACAAAAACGGGGGGGGGTATGTATATTATCTCTGCAGTAATTTTATGTCATGTCAACAACGGTAATGTAGTTGTTAGTGATGAGCGATATATCAGAAACTGTGTTATAAATATTCTGTTGCCAGAATGTAACCTGTTGCAAAAATTCGTAGAAAACTGTGACGTTATCACAAAAAAATATATCTTTTCCAAGTCACAAAAACTAAACCATACCGAACATCTATACTAATATATAAAATCCTTAAGTGACTGACTAACTGATTAATCACGATCCTGCTCAAACCACTCAACGTAAGAAGCTCAATTTTGGCATACAGGTTGATTCTAGGGTGTAAGAAGGGATTCGAAATTAAAGGTTCCAAGGGGTGAAACCACCCCCTCAAATATTAAAAAATTTTATTTAAAAAACGGTCAAGTTTCCGAAAAAAACGCTTAAACACGTATATTTTATTTTGTTTTTTACATATTTTAAGATTTTTTAAAAATGTATACAGGGTGTTTTGAAAAATCTGGTCATAGATTAGTCACGATCCTGCTTAAAGCGCTTGATGTAAAAAGCTGATTTTTGGAAAACGGATTGACTTTAGGGTGTAAAGGTTCGATAAGAGAAACATGGTCGATTGTGAATGACTTGAGGAGTAATGTTTCTTCGTCCAACATAACCTCAACTTCACCTGAGGACCTAAACAATTACTTTGTAAATGTGGCGAAGAATATAGTGAATACTATCTCACCCTCCCTTGATCCTCTATCATTTCTCTCTGACTATAATGTTAATTTGCACAGTTTCTTCCCTTACGCCTGTGGGGTTGGCAGAGCTTCGCAATACATTAAATGATATTAAAAAATAAATCTTCAGCAGGGACTGACGGACTTACTCTTAAAATGTTCTCTAGTATGCCGGAATGTACATTAAACCATCTTTCAGCCTTAATTAATATGTCATTTGAAGATGGTGCTTTTCCAAATTGCCTTAAGTCGGCGATAATTATTCCTTTGCATAAAGGAGGTGATAAAGAGCAAGCTTCCAACTATCGTCCAATTGCACTCCTTCCCACGTTATCGAAGATCATGGAGAGACTGGTTAAAAAAGAGCTTGTATCATTTCTTCTAAAATACAAAATACTCATCCCCTTTCAGTTTGGGTTCTTGAGTAACAAATGTACAAATGACGCTATGTTTTCGCTGTTTAATAATGTATACTCCAGTCTGAACAACCGTCTCGTTACAGCAACAATTTTCTGTGATTTCTCGAAAGCTTTTGATTGTGTGTTAATCATAACATCCTAACTCAACAAATTGCAGTACTATGGTATCAGAGGGAACGCCTCTTGAATGGTTTAAGTCCTACCTTAACAACAGAAACCAGCGTGTGAGGGTTGATAAGACTGTGTCTTCTTGCAAGCCAATAGAATGCGGAGTACCTCAGGGCTCAGTGCTAGGTCCCTATTTTGTTTCTGTTGTTTATCAACGATATTGCTAGTCTGGACATCCAGTGGTAAAATCTGTCTCTTCGCGGATGATACTTGTTTCACATGGAGCAGCCCGGACACCACTGGCCTTCATAGAACCATTTCCATTGACTTAATCAACATAAAACATGGTGCGATTCTAATTATCTGTGTCTCAACGTCTCTAAAACTAAAGTCTTATCATATAAAAGTACGTTGCTACCTTTTCAACTTGATAATACCACCATTGACGTCGTTGATTCTGTGAAATTTTTTAGGCCTTGTTGTGGACAACTATTTAAAATGGGATTTGCACATCGATGCTTTAGCTAAAAATTAAGTTCTGCCTGTTTCGCACTTAGATCAGTTGCTAATGTGCTTAATTTGTCAGCATCTAGGACAGTCTATTATGTTCCTTTTTGAGTCGCATCTCCGATACGCACTTCCATTCTGGGGTGCGTGTTGTGCGACTCAATTTGAGCAGCTATCTTCAAATTACAAAAGAGAGCTGTGCGATATTCACTGAGGCTAACCAGTCGTGCTCACTGCCGGGACTTGTTTAAAAGATATAAAATATTAACTCTTCCTTCCCTATTCATACTCGAATCCGTCTGCCTAGTTCGCAAGCACGTATCGAGTATTTCTCTAGGTCCAGTTCATGGCTATCAATTAGGAACGCAGAGCATAACTTGTATCTGCCAACCCCTCACTCTGAGTTAGTAAAGAGTTCCATATTGTACAATGCAAAAAAATGCACAATCATCTGCCATCTGAAATTAATTCCATTTCATCCTTTCCTGCATTTCGCAGAGCCTTGAGATCATACTTACTGGAGAAAGCCTTTTACGCGGTTAACGATTTTTTTATTAATATCTAGGGTTCTAAATTTAACACACATTCGCTAAATTTAAGAAATGATTTTGTTTTCTATCCATTTAAATTTAGTATTGACATTATATACAGTTGTTTATTTACATGTATGTTTATATTTTATTTATATTTAATTAAATAAATTTTTGACAATGTACAATTTCTATAATTGTATAAAGTATTGTTTTAGTTTTGTATGTTTGCTGTTAGTTTTATATGTTTTTCTATTGTTAAGTGAAGTTTTGTATGTTTTTTATATTCTCTTTTTTAAGCTTTGTCAACAAAATTGTAAAATTTTTTTATGACAATAAAGCAATTTCTTTCTTTCTTTCTTTCTTTAAGAAGGGATTTTTGGAAACTCGAATTCTAAGGGGGTGAAACCACCACTCAAATATTAGAATATTTTTTTATTTAAAAACCGGTGAGTTTTTCGGAAAAACTCTTAAACACGTATATTTTATTTTGTTGTTTTACATATTTTAAGAATTTTTTAAAATTTATACCTACAGGGTGTTTCATAAAATATGACCATAGAGTAATCACGATTCTGCTTAAATTGCTTGACGTTTAAAGTTGATTTTTGGCAAACGGATTGACTGTGCGGGGTGTAGAGGTTCGATAAGGAGGGGTATCTCGAATCTCAAATTCCAAGAGGGTGAACACGCCCATCAAATATTACAATATTTGTTATTTAAAAAACGGTTAGTATTTCGGGAAAACGCTTGGACACGGATAATTTTTTTTTATATTTTGATTTTTTTTAAATCATACAGGGTGTTCCAAAGTGTTCCACCCGCTTGCGAGGATTAATATTATTTCTTTGTTGGACCCAAAAAAACTTTTAATAAACCTGTATTGTATATTGCAATTTCCGTTTTTCTTACGCCTTTACTTTACTCTATTATTTTTACAGTTGAAAGAAAGTCAGTCCCAGGTACTGAAAGACAACCTTACCGCCCCTATAGCGAGGTTTTCAGTCAGCAATCTGGAGCCAGGAGCGCAGTACCAGGCGGTTCTCTTTGCATACAATTCCAAAGGACGAAGCGAACCGGTCATTTTGCAGCCTCAACTTTGAGGCTACCGGAAAACAGCTCACAGCAGAAGAGGTAAGGAATATAAGAATCTATTTTTTTCAAACGTCACAAAAGTATTAATTTTGGCCACGTGCTTGCTAATCCCAAAAGTTTTTGTGAAGTTTGAAAACACAGAATTATTTGCTAAAAATTACACCATTAACTAGAAGATCATTCTCACACTGTTTCTCCTATTTTGTAATGGAATAATTTCAGAGTTCTCTACAAATTTCCAACCGTTTATTTTATTCCACAATGAAACTGGATACTTTTAAACAGAAATAAAGTTTTATTCTTACCGAAGCCTTGCAAAAATTTTATCGTGTTTATTTTTATACCCTTTCCCGGAGCGCACAACAATCAAACGCTTCTCGCCAGACGAAGTGAGCATTCTCCATGATTTATGGAAAACATAAAATAGCCGATATGGGAATGGACAGAAAAAACGTTGGCATTTTTAAAATTGGGGTTTTGCTGTTCTTTTTTAGGGACAGGGAGCTCGTACAGGCTTACATAAACAATTCGAAATGAGAGGCGTTCAAGTTGTTTGTTGGTCTTTTTCGAAATAAAAATATAGCCCGAATTAGGGAAATTCATATTACGTTTTTGTTGTTTTTTTTTTAATTCACAAAAAAATCCTATAAAATGAAAATAATGAAAAAAAAAATTAAATTATTAAATTACAGTGGCTTTAGAATAGATAAGTTTTTGTGCCATACACATTAAATGTGCTTTAAAAATGAGTCCTGCTATGTTCCTTAATGACTTGCTAATGCCATATTATCGGAAAAAATGGCGTCAAAGACGACTAGTGAGTGAGCACTATCGATTATTATTATTTCTAGATGTCATTTATTAAAAAATGACATAAAACTTCTCAAAATTAACACTAATTATAAAAAAGATTGAAAAGGATAGAAGGCTTCCAGACACATACAGGGTGTTTCAAAACAAATGCGAAAAACTTTAGGGGGCGATTCCTTGTTCAAAAATAAAGGGTAGTTTGCTTTATAAACGTTGGGTCAAAGTCAACCATTAGGGAGATAATATCGCGGTACAAAGATGGCGGAAAATAATGTTTTTATTTTTTATCTTGAAAACGAAAAGAGATAGACTAATGAAATTTTATGGAAGCTTACATTACTGTTATGAAAACACACTTTCAGGTAATTTTTACTTTTTTAAAATGAGTGGGAAGGGTTGAAATAAACTACCCCTATCATTCTTGTTAACGAAATTTAAAGAAAAATCTTATCAAACACATGCAAATGCTTTAATTTGATAGTTTAGTTAGTTTAGAAACTTTTTTACCTATTGTTTTTTTGATAAAACTCACCGATTGGAAATTAAAAAATAAAATGTAAAGCATTACATGTCAGGACAAAAACATTTTTAGATTAAGAATATAGTGATAATAACGATAATAAATAATCATCTAGATAATAACGTATTGCAGTAGAGTAATGTCAAATAAAATAATATTAGGAACATCCTAAAAAGTAACAGCGGCCGACTAGATTTTTTTCTAAAAAATTACAGCAGCCCACTAGATTCTTTTTATCAGAAAATGTTTTTTGTCCTGACATGTAATGCTTTACATTTTATTTTTTAATTTCAAATCGGTGAGTTTCATCAAAAAAATACAAGAGATAAAAAAGTTTCTAAACAAACTAAACTATCCAAATTAATTTTTTTGCATGTGTTTGATAAGATTTTTCTTTAAATTTCGTTAACAAGAACGATATGGGTAGTTTATTTCAACCCCTTCCACTCATTTTAAAAAAGTGAAAAAATTACCAGAAAGTGTGTTTTCATAACAGTAATGCTTCCATAAAATTTTATTAATCTGTCTCTTTTCGTTTTCAAGATAAAAAATAAAAACATTATTTTTCCGCCATCTTTGTACCGCAATATCTCCCTAATAGTTGACTTTTGTCCCAACGTTTATTAAGCAAAGTACCCTTTATTTTGAACAAGGAATCACCCCCTGAAGTTTTTCGCATTTGTTTTGAAACACCCTGTATATCTATTGTCGTATAACATACCCAAGATCGTAATAAGAAGAGTTTTTGTTAGTTTAGCATATCCCCACCCGCAAGTACTAAAGCCTCTGATTTCGAGGCATCAAGTTAAAGTTAAAGGTTTGTTGGTTCTGGTGCAAATACCGTTAGACTATGAGTTACTCTATTCTTTGATTTTGATTGCTCATTTTTTAGCTAAGATATTCGCCCTGGCACGGTCGAAAAATATTTGTACACTCAACAAGGCCCTTGTTGTCACACTGAACCAAAAATATCGCCACGGATGGACAGTAAACGATTGTATTTAGATTACTTTTAAACTAAAATTATTCACAGGATAAATTCAATCAATTTTCAGATCAAATAAATCAAGCTAATTTTTAGCACAGAATATTACCACAAGAAAATAAAATATATGTTTTAGTTAACATTAATTATAATAATATTCTTAAAATGACCAAAACCTGCAAACCAAAATAACATCAATCCGTCTCAAAGCCATAACCTAACGTCTATCATCTCTGTTCCTTGTCTGATTTCTCTCTCTCTAGTTTTCAAATAATATTTTAAAAAACAATAATTATTTGTGTATACAGAGTGTCCTAAAATTGACTATTTTGAGTTTAAAGAAATACGTTTATTTTTAGATAGACGGCCCCCCCCCCCCATCACAATATTTTCAACTTTTTTCTCGAATTTTAAACTACAACACTATTTAAAATAATATTTACTCAATGTAAAAAAAATAAAAACATTCTTAAGGCCAACTGACAGTAAAAGGCATTAAAAAAGTAGATGACGTCTAAAAAGCTTGACCTCGCCAAAATTATCATCGATTGTTATTCTCCCAGTCGTCTTTGACCCCGTTTTTTTTTTTCGATTTTATTGTATTTTAGGGGTGGTGATTCATGGATATATTTTAGAAAAAAACTTCCTATGAATGTATATGTCCTAAATATCTTAACTTTTGGGACACAGGGTAGTTAAGTTTTCTAAAAAAAATACTTCCTTTCATAATAACTCTGATGGACATTATAGATAAATTCATGAAATTTGATGCTATGTGGAATGGAAATACTTAGTCAATACATGTCATTGACAAAAAATAAACATACCTTGAGTAGATAGTTATTTGACTGAAATAAATTCAAGGATTTTTTTTTTTAATTAATCATAAACTTTTCTGCGAAGTTTGATAAAACAGTTTCTGTTGAACTTTTTGGCACAAAAAAGATTTGGAACTTATGATTTCAGTCTAATTACTATACAGGTTGTTAATGTGTTTATTACTCGCGAAAGAGCTTTTATGGTTAAAATATGGCAACCTCGGTCCGGGACGAGTCGGCAGAAAACCCTATATGTGCATGCGTTCTCAATAGCAGTATTGCCATTCTGTTTCCTTATAAGTAACTGTCCAGTTAACAACCTGTATAGTGAAGATATTTAATTTATGACTCCATTCATGCAGTTGTGCAGCTCTGAACTGTTCAAGAACTGTTGTGATACTCTCACTCCATTCAATTGAGTCATAAAGTTCAGAACTGTTCCGCGCCATATGGAGGCACCAGGCACAACAAAACCAAACCACAGCTCCTTTCAGAACCGTTCTCGAGTAGCCCAGGGCGTAAAGCTCTGGAACTTGAAATTCGCGAATGGAGGACAGCAAATGATGACAGATATTGACAATTTCGATTCCAAATATCTCGAGAACCATTACTCATGTAGCGATTTTTCCTTAAGAGACTTTTTTTTCCGTAAAAAATGTCGTGAACATATATTTTTTTACTCAGTAATATTATACAGGCACGGACTAAAAGTTATTACTCTTCAAATCAGTTAAAAGATATGTAGGTGGCGCCCTCTACAAGTAGGAGTCATATTGACATCATAATCAAATTTCTCATGTCAAAAAATTCCCAGACACCAATTTTCACTTATAATATCACAAGAGCTTAAATTATTTTCGGAAATTTTTTTGAGGGCACGAATATTTTGAAAATTATCCCGAGTCGAAGACGAGGGATGATTTTCCTAAAATATTCGTGCCCGAAAGAAAATTCCAGGAATAATTTAAGCTTGTGTGTATTCGGTAAGAAAAAATTTCACACCTAAATTGAAAAAAAAATATTAATCCAACATGACATTTTAAAATAATTTCAATTTGTTGTTGGCCAAGGTATTGATGTTTTTGACATATTATGTGTTTTGTCATTTTGTTTGCGATTCTGTCATTAAGCTATTACTAGTTTTAAAACGTCTGTACGTAGAGTAAGAAGTGTATAGCGAAATGTCAGTGATTTGGAAAAGTAAACCAACAAGTCATTGAAGAAGAAATTGAAAATATAAAACCAGATAACACCCGAAAATCAAAATCAAGTGTATATCCATCATATTTCGTTAAATAGAAAAATACCAGCTTTAGTTAAATAAAGGCGGCAGAACTATATTTTTTAGAACATGGCAATTTCGAAGAAATTCATATGTAGGTATATCTAACATATTTCCTTAAATAAAAAAATATTACCAACCTTAGTTACATCAAATGCTAAAACTCAAATGGGTAATATTTCAATATATAGACATTGTAGTTCATTCACATTATGATTGTAGATCTTATGTTTACCTTTTCAACTGTCAAAAAATTTCCACTAAAGTTTCGTGGTGCCTCGAAAAAATTTCCGGAAATTTTTTCAGTTGCCATGGTAACTAGTCAACATTAAAGCATTTTATTGGTTGAAAAGTAGAGGTGTGAAATTTTCATCCAAATATTTATGTTACATCATAAATTATTTGGAAAAAATCAAAATAAAAATGAAACTTCCACGCCATTGTAATCAAACTCGGCACGTGGATAGACCATCATGAAATTTGATGCTATGACGCTATCTTCTAGGCGTCAAAATTCCCTTTGTAATGTTCAAACATGTTTTTTTTATGTGATATCTTAATTTCCTTTTATCCTGTTCAGAAACGATTTCCTCACAACAATCAACACATCAGATTTTTAGCGATTTGACCCTGAAATAAAATGACTTTAATTTTTTAAAGCTAAAACTATGCGACGCGGCGCACAATGGATCGAAGCATAGGAAGATAGGGACGTTGGCTGTTTTTGAAGAGTTCCAAATTTAAATATTTTTTTACATATTTGTGTTAAAGAGATATTCTAGTCTTGTAAAACATATACAGTATGTCTGTTTGTTATTTACTTATTGAGCATATGAGCACCATTTGAAGTAAATTGAAAAAATCATTCAAATTGGTAGATAAAGAGTCTTACATTTGATTGTAATTTTGAAATGGATGTAAAGATATTTGTTTGTTATATATAACGACTTATTAGAAGCGTTCTTGGGCTATAGTATTGGATTGTTAAGTTTAAAAAAGTGACACCAGAAGTGAAAAACTCATTTGTTTTTTATTTATGTCATTAAGACTTTAAAAAATATAAAGTTTTCTTGAATTACAAAAAATGTAAGCCGGATGTGGGGGAGATATTACGTGCAATGTAAAGAGCCACCTTTACTAGCACATATCATAAAAAAAATTGGCTGCCCCAAAGTGCCACTGCAAAAAATATAATGTTTTTAATGTCAAAATCCTTGAATTTATGCAATGCACGCACAGTGCACCATCAAACAATTTGTAATTTGCCGATATAGGTAAGTATATTCGTCGAAGAACATTGGAGTGGGACTGAATTACAATACAATACATAAGGCATATAGGTTGAAAGGCCCAGAAATGTTTTCGTTTTGGTATTCGGTATTCGGCAATTGAATTGATATTCGGCAATTTGTCGAGTTTGCCGTGGACGCGCATCACGCGTTGCTTTGCAGAATATATTTGCAATTTTATTTTAGATTTAGAGAGGAAATGGGTTTGATAGTCGATGTCCTTAAACAGGGACGGGGCACAACTAACGATGGAAACACTGCGAGAAGATTTTTCCGAAACTTCGAAAAGCCTCATAACAAATTACAGGAATCGATGAATTGATTGCTGGAAAGACTATATACATTACTCCAAGTTTTGGTTTCAGGAAAAAAAAATAAATGCCGAAAAGTTTAATAAATTTGTAAAAGAGACTGCAGAAGAGTTAACCTTTATGGATGGTATTACATGCCATCTTCTCTACACAAAATTTTGATACATGGAGCAAAAATCATCAGCAATTTTTGGTTTCCGATAGGGCATCTGTCTGAAGAGACCTCAGAGTCTAGGAATAAATACTTTCGGAAATATAGAGAATGCCGTTCAAGAAGGTCTAACAGAACTTTTGCAAATGAAGACATTTTACATAATATTTTGTTGTCTTCCGATACATATATAACTGATATGCGTAGCTGTGATAAAATTCATAGCGATTTAACAGAGAAAGCAATATCTCTTTTGTTTATAATATTTTTTGTTTTCTTTTTTATTTAGAGATTAGTTCTTTTTGTGAGTCACCCTGTATATTTTGTTAACTATTTGGCCATATTAATTTAAGATTTAACAGAGAAAGTAATTTCTCATGTGTTATAATGTTTTGTTTTCTTTTTGTTTATAGATGAGCTCTTTTTGTAAGACACCCTGTATATTTTTAAAAATATCTGGTACAAAAAGGCCATATTAATTTAGGATTTAACAGAGAAAGCAATTTCTTTTTTTGTAATAATATTTTGTTTTCTTTTTGTTTAGATATTAGTTCTTTTTTGAGACACCCTGTATATTTTCTAAATTATATGGTACAAAATGCCATATTAATTTAGATTTTTGTTGTATTTATTGAAGTGGTACATAAAAAACAGTAAAATAAAAGTATTAATTACGAAATAAGTCAATGTCCCTATTTTCCTATGCTTCGATCCATTGTGCGGCGGGGAAAAAAATGAAAATATAAAAATTGTTTAGAAATACATGAAGGTTTTGAAATTAATTTTTATTTTACTTTTGTCATTTTACATGTATAAAAACTGATAAAATATTATTTTTATGTTCTAGATACGCACAGGGCCACATTCAAATTTACACCACTAATGAGCGTCATTATAGGTGTAGTGTCCGCACTACTAATAGTGCTTTTAGTGGTGATATTAGTGCTCAGGCTTCAGTGCACGCAGAACGGCGATCACAGGAGAAAGCGACACCAACAACACAAAAACAACGTCGTTTCTGGTGGTAGTTTGGAGCACAGGGGTAGCGGAAGTGGGGCAACACTCAGTGATAAAGGGGGTAAGTTCATTAGTAGTACAAAACTAGACAGTGGCGGTACCTCAAAAAATACAATAAATCCAAATTTATTACCTCTTCGTAAAAAAATTATTATTCAACTCTTTAACATAAATAATATAAGTTTAAAAGAACATTATTATTTTATTTTATATAAATCAGCTGGGTTTTCGTTTCCATCGTGTTATCTTATTGAACTGTACTAAAAATGAACTCTTAGAGCTTTTAGATATCAAATACTCTGCTGCACTTATGTAATAATTTCACACACAGAAACTAGCGTTGAAAAGCTCACAGAACCTAGCTTTGACATAATATTATATTATATTTTTAGGAAGCTCGTATCAGGGCAAATAAAATAATAGAACAATACATATACAATGTATTGCACTTAAGCAAACATAAGTTTGGGCCATATTTCAAGAATGACAGCCCTCAACAAAAAAACTAGTTACGCCACCGAATTCGACGTAAAAAACTCTACGGTATACAGTTTTCAACTTTTCAATAAATTACTAATCTAATATTAATCTTGTGGAATATACAGGGTGGCCCATCGAAAACGTTCAGCACGAGATGTAATTAACAAAATATTATTAACACAACAACTATTTTAAAAACGTCTAGATTTACTTATTTTACTGAGATTTATGAAAAAAAGTCCTTTGCCTCGGGTATAGACACCGACACGTTTTGGAAACAGCTCAAAACGAAACAAAATTGAACGAGACAACAGGAAACGCCAAAAAAACACGCCCTCTTGACGTGTAGTTTTCAGGCGCTTTTAAGAATCGAAAGTAGGTCGAGGCAAACCGAAGTAGGTCAAGACAACTGGAAATAAACCGAAATGCGACAAAGTTGGGCGACGAAACGCGACCTCGACCTGCTTCGAAGAGTTCTCCGCATAGTGTAGAGCCTGTTTAAGATAACCGACATAAGAGGGGAACAAAATATAAACACTAAATCACCACAATACACCAAAACACTTTTACTTTTACATTGGACGCGCGTTTCGCTAACCATGTTAGCATCATCAGCAGATGATTATAAACTAAAGAATCTTAGTCTTTAATCGTCTTTAGTTTATAATCATCTGCTGATGATGCTAACATGGTTAGCGAAACGCGCGTCCAGTGTAAAAGTAAAAGTGTTTTGGTGTATTGTGGTGATTTAGTGTTTATATTTTGCTGTGTAACACCAAAGGTTCCAACCCTCAACTGTAATAAGAGGGGAGTTGAAAAATGCAACAATTTCAAATAACTAAGAGGGCTAGGACAAAACAATCTATATGTATAGTCTTTAATTTCATCAAAAATTAACAGAATAGCGTGAAAACGGCATTTTGTATATATCTCTACTGATAAACAAAAATTCCCATAAAACATACGAAATATGGACATCCTATACAGCATTATTACTTAATAATAAAACAAGTCATATCTTCGGTTTATAACGTAACAGCTATAAAACGGGAGCAAACCCATAGAATGCAACGATAAAACGAAAACTCGAATTCTTATAGGTATAGCTTTTGTTGTGGAACAAAACTTTTCGAACCGCAATTCCTCAGAAAGCTTCGGGATCTCTACTTCGTTATTCTGTAATTTCACCTGGCCTTTGCAAAAGTGCTTTGAAAACACGATTTTAATTTTTCGAAAGTGTATACGAGCACTAACAACTATATGTTGGGACAAGGTCATATTTTGGACTTATTGCCCTGGTTTTTCAAAATAACTGAAAAATATATGTTTAATTTTTTAAATATAAATTTTAAATATAACCATATATCCTAAACAACTTGACAATATTTTTATGAATTTGTAAATCAATCCATATATACAGTAGCGGATTTTGTTCATAAAAGGACAAATTTGCTGACAACTAAATGTTGGGACAAGTATTTTTAAATAATTAATATCATAGGCGGCTTTGTTATAAACGTCGCAAATGTCGCAAACTGTTTACTTCAGCATTGACAGCTTGTAAGTGACACGATACTTTGAGTAGTGAGATTTACTGTAAGTAATTTTAATTTTTTTAATTTTCAATTTTTTTAATTATTTAATTCAAAGTAATGGTCCGTGGAAAAGCTACAAATCAAAAGCTACGCGAAATTATCATTCGTAAATACAGTACGGGAAAAACAATTCGAAAAATTTCTGATGATTTAAGTATTCGAAAAACTACGGTCTTTAATATAATAATAAAAATACGGCAAATCTGCCAATGTAGACGTTAAAGGTAAAAGTTCGGGAAGGCCAAAAGTTTGTATCTCAAAGAGATTTGCGAAATTTAGTAAAAATTTGCAAGTCTGCGAGAAGTACTCTTCGTGAAGTAACAGTTAAATGGAATACTGTAACTGGTTTAAATATATCAAGAAAATGTTGCCGAAAATATATCCATAAATGCGGTCTGGGGTTTTACAAGGTAAACTTTATTTTATGTGGATAATCAATTACCTGAAGATTATTGATACAAATTCTTATTTAGGTCAATGAAAAACCTAGCGGTTTTTCATTGGCAGAAATTCAGAAGAAAAATCGCTACAATTGGGCAAAATCTAAATTATCGTGGACACAAAATGATTGGAATAAGGTCATATTTAGCGATGAGTCTAAATTTGATGTTTGCGTTGGAGATCATCGAAAACGAATAATACGAAATAAAGCCGAAGCCTTTCATAAAGATTGCTTAAAGAGGGTTGTTAAATTTCCTAAGGGGATTATGGTTTGGGGTTGCATGTCAGCAAGAGGTTTGGGCAAATTAAATTTTATACATGGCACTGTTAACGCCCAAAAATATCAACATATACTTGGGACCTCACTTTTGCCTAGTGCTGTAGAATTGTTTCCAAACGAAAACTATATTTTCCAACAAAATGGAGCATTGTGCCATTCAGCAAAATCAATTAAAAATTGGTTCAGTAATAATAATATAAAAGTTCTATCCCATCTTGCAAGTAGTCCGGACCTCAATGTTATAGAAACTCTGTGGCATAAAATGAAGCAATATTTAATGAACCACCCTCAACGAACAATTTTTGATTTGTGGGCAAAACTGCAGGAAATTTGGCATAATTTTTCTCCTCAAATGTGCCAATCTTTGGTAAATACAATGCCATTAAGAGTTCAGGCAGTTAAGGCGAAAGGTGATGTAACTCCGTATTAAACAAATTTCTTGTTGTGCTGTTCCAATATATAGTTGTCAGCAAATTTGGCTTGATTTTGGCAAAATAAGCTATTATCAAAAGTGATTTGTTTGCAGAGTTACAAAAATGTTATAAAATTATCTAGATCATATTGTAATGTTTGAATTTAGAATAATAAACAAAATAAATTGAGTCGTTTTAACAAATTACTATTTTTTATTGCAAAAAAGACCTTGTCCCAACATAGAGTTGTTAGTGCACGTATAGGTCTTTTATAGTTGACGGCGGCCGGCGGCGGTAAGCTTTGTACTCTAATTTCATTAAAGTTGTTACGTTTGAGTTATATTTTATTAGTAAACAATGTTGCAAACAGTACAGTGAAAAATATTGTTACATAAAAAATAGTTTTACTAAATTTTTTAAAGCTTTTAGATAAATAAAATATAAAACAAACAATATAAAAATTGCATAATATACTGTGGTGAGTCAGTGCCGATTGAGACACTCACCAAGTCAATAGACCATTTTTAGAACAGCGGTTTTAAATTTCCAAAAACTAAACTAGCTTTTTCTACAAAAATACGACGTTATCTTAAAAGACTTTTCATTTAATTAAATCGTTAATAAAAAAGACTATCAAATATAATTTCGACACTAATATCCAAATAGTACACGTCCTTAAATCTCAAATAACCTACCCTAATATTCGAAAATTAAGTCGTTATTTCCAACACAGCAACTCTCTGCCACTGTGACAATACAACACGCTTTGCCGCAATTACTCCAAAGACAATTAATAACTTTTAACCCGATTGAAACTCGCCGAAACGTCGTCCTTTGTCGATTCCCGTTTGTCCGTAACGAGCAGAACAACACTGGGAGGAGTGAGGGTAAGGATAGGAGGTGTGAGGGAAGGAGGATTGTTGCCTCCACCGCATCCTTACGCTTTTAGAGCTAAACTTTGGAGCGAGACGTTTCTTAGACCTCGAATTGTCGA